TAATAGCGCATTAGCACAATAAACAAAGAGACATGGTTCCACGGAACAAAACTTAGCAATAGTCCAGCACTATTCGCGCCCAATCAGTTCGAAAGAACAAAAAATTAGTACGAGTCCAGCACTCTGCGCCCAGTTCCACGGAACAAAACTTAGCAATAGTCCAGCACTATTCGCGCCCAATCAGTTCGAAGAACAAAAAATTAGTATGAGTCCAGCACTCTGCGCCCAGTTCCACGGAACAAAACTTAGCAATAGTCCAGCACTATTCGCGCCCAATCAGTTCGAAAGAACAAAAAATTAGTATGAGTCCAGCACTCTGCGCTCGGTTCCACGGAACAAAACTTAGCGGTAGTCCAGCACTATCCGCGCCCAACTAGTTCAAAAGAACAAAAACTGAACCCGGCACCACTCACGCTCACGGTGTTACGCGCGCCCACATGGGTCCGCGCAGCAGCAGTTATCAAAATTCTAGCACCATTTGCGCCCAAGGAGTTCAAAAAAAAAAAAAAAAAAGAAGGAAAAAGAGAAAAACGAAAGACATATAGCAACATCTAAGGGGCAAGATCGAAAGGCGAACATGAGGTGCATTTGGATTACTTCATAAGGGAATAAAATAAAAGCAATGTCAACGCGCACAGCGCCGCAAGAAACAGTTAAACAGGGAACAGCGATAGTAACACATGGAAAACAACCTACGAATCTCCTCCCTCATCAGTGCGGGACGGCGCCACGACAGTCTGCTCATCACCCCTGGTGCCTCCGGAGCCCTCCTTGCCCGCGCTCTCATCATCCGCGCTCTCTTCCTCCTCCTCGTCATCCTCGGGCTCCGACTCGGACATGGACTTCTTCTGACTTATCCACATCTTCACGTGCTCGACCATAGCGCGAGTGTCCCAACTGAGACCGGGGTTCTCAGGGCGGACCTTCTTCCCAACCGCGATCACGGCCTTCGTCATGGCGTCCGCCATAATCCTTCCAAAAGGAGGGGACGACTTATACTGACGAATCGCCGCGACCTGGGCCTCGCGCACGGCCTCAGCCTTCGCCACGCCATGAAGTCGGACCAAGTCCTCCTTCTCCTTCTGGAAGCCCTCGCGGACCTCCTTCAACTTTCCTTCGTAGTCTTCCGCCAACATCTTCCTCTCTTCAGCAAACTGAGCCTGCAGCTGCGCCCTGATGGCGTCGCGCTCCTCAGCTCGGACGCGCTCCTTCGCAGTCTCGACAGCAGTCTCAAGGCGGCTCTGCCACACGCCCAACTCCGTCAAGGCCTTGTTGGCCTCGTTGGTGGCTACCTCGGCACGGGTCTCCGCGCCAGCAAGCTTCCCTTCCAACTGCACAATGCGAGACTCGCCCGCCTTCAATCTTGTGTGAGTGGAAGTGCGGTCCTGCTGAGCGCGGAAGGTCGCCAGCAAACCCTACACGAACAGCACCCAGCAACTTAGAAAAAACGGGGAGTCAATGGAAAGAAAAACAAAAAGATTGCATGCCAGAACAGAACCTTACCGCCCAATGAATTTGAGCCAAGTCCAGCAAAGGATCCGACTTCTCGAACCGCGGAGGGATGCTCAGCACGGGTCCAACCGCCCGCAGAGCAGCCTGCGCGGTTTGACTATTACACGCAGCGCCAGTATGCAGCCGCACGTTGCGGTAATAATCAACCCCGGGGACGCCTCCCAACATGTCGGAGAGCTTCCGCTGCCCACTAGCCCCAGAGCCGCTAGGAGCCATCACCGTTTCTGGGCGGGGGGAGTTATCCACCTGCCCCGCCGGATCGGCAACGACCAAAGGCTGCTGGCGCGCCTCCTGCACGCGCGTCTCCGGCACTGACGTGATCCGCTCCTTCGGGTCCATAACCCGCGCAGCCTTCTGCGGGTGCCCACCAGCCGGCTCCCTCTCCGACGCCGATTCCTTTCGCTTCCCGCCACTCGCGGGAGCACTGCTGGGTTGCCCTCGGTCCTTCCTCTTAGAACCGCCAGCTGGCGCATTACTACTCTGCGCCCCCTCCTTCTGCTTCTTCTTCCCCTTCCGCGATGCGCGAGGCGCCCTCGCAACAGCGTCCACCGACATCATGCTCGCGAGGTCGGCAAAATCGACGCCTGCAACAAAATATCGTAAGAAACCTGTTAATTATGACAGAATACAAAGGGAAAAGAATATAACTAACCATCAGCAAAAAGCTCTTGCAAGATGGCCTCGCGAACTCCGCGCGTGTAAAGATTCATCTTCTGATCCAAACAGGCTTGATATTCCCGATCAAGCCCATCATACGAGTCAACGCGCGACTCGAACTTCTTGGTACAACCCTTCTTCCACACCGTGGGCTCATCCACGCGCTCACTCGCCCACTCCCCCGCCACTGGCTTGACGTAGAAGAAGCGCTCAAACCATGTCTTCTTCAGCTTGGGAGAACCATACACGAACCCGTCAGGCCTGTTATCGCGCCGCTTTATGGACAGGCAGTCGCTTGTCTTACTGGGCTCCTTGATCTTGTAGAACTGGCGGAACAGCCCATACGTGGGCTGGATGTTGAGCCGCTTACAGGCAAGGCGCAGACACGAGACGTGCATAATAATAGAGGGGGAAAGGCGTCCAACTGAGCAGTCGAGACGCCTGTATAAGGCGCACAACAATGGGTCGATGGGAAACTTGAAGCCCATCACCCAGTACTCAGTATAAACCCCGAACCACCCTGGGGGGCAATTGCCAACCGTGCTCCTAACGGACGGCACCGCGTACTCCCAATGCGGAGGCAAGCCCAACCCGCGCACAATATCCTCGACGTCTTCGCGCGTGTAAATCGAAGGATGGTCAGGCCCCCGCAGCAAGTTATCATGCGGAGCCGGCTGATCGCCCCACATCTCTGCCCAATCCAAGACGGTGTAGACCGCGTCCACGTAACGGGGACCAAGGCGGCTCATTCCCTCGGTCACGCGCACCACGTTGACGGGCTCAGCGATGATCGGCGCGGATTGTGTATCGGAATCTTCGCGCTCGGCCGCGCCCGCAGTACCAGCTCCCCCGGACCCCCCGTCGCGCCCGCGTCGGATTATTAAGACGCCCTGGGCCCGGGTACTCGGACCGGTGTCTCCATCTACCTCTACCTCTGTCTCTTCAAGGAGGAAATCGGAATCCGAGTCGACTCGCCCCGACGGCGTCAACGGAACCCCGCCGTCCCCGGACACACCACCGTCCTCATCGCCGGAGTTCGCCAATTCCAGCGACGGATCAGAAGAAACACGTGAAAGGGGGGAAACATTACCTTCTTCGTCGTGTACGATCTCAACCTCGCCGGCGTTGGTGTTGATGTTGTCCATGATAGCAAGAAACAGCAACAAGAACAAGGATCGAAGGCTCAAGATTGTAAAAGAAGAAGAAGAATTACGGCGATGAACCAGAACACGAGAGAGAACAGAGCAGAATTCAGATGTGAAGAATGAAGCAGAATGAATCCCAACCCACACAACGGGTCGATACTTATAATTATTAGAGGGAAGTTGAAGGGTTAAAGTAACCTCGAAAATCGCAACCGTCAGACGTTTCGAATTTCGAAATTCGAAATTCGCCCGCCCAAACGGACGAACCAGGTAAGGACACGTGGACACCTATTCGGAGTAGGCTCTAGCCGCTGACATAACTAGTTACGCACAGCGCCTGGGGGGCATGGCACACCCGCGAGGAAAAAGAAAAAAATCCCGCGAAGATCGCGCACGCATCTCAAGTGAATCAGAATCCCACGACCGGCGCGCACTATCAGACGACTACAACTGATATCCTAACGCGGCTACGGAACGGCCAGGCGCGCACAAAGAACCCCAAGAACCGCGCCCCGGGCCCGAGTCAATCAAGCAAAGACCTAAACAGAGGGCGTCCTCAGAACACCCTCTGATGGGGGGCAATTGTTGGGCATGTGACTCGGGCTTAATCGCCAAGGCAAGACGCGCTGAGATAGGGCGCGCACGAAGGCTTGTAGGCGCGCGAGTAGAGAGAAATGACGCGCGCGTACTCAGAGTCCTCCACAAGCTGCGCGCGAGTGGAAAGGGGTTAAGGCGCGGGAGCCCCGACGCGCCGCGAGCCACAAAGCCGCAAGAAGCCTCCCTCGCACACTTCCCAAGGGCCGGCCGCATTGGGATCAGAGACATAGTCGTAGGTACACCCCAGACAGGTCCTAGGTAGGGGGATGGCCTAAATCCCTGACATGTCAATGGTCACATCAGGGGTCAAAAGTCCCATCATGTAATCCACCCGTTCACCCACCTCCATGTAGCCTATAAATATGGCATTTACTCCGGTGGGTGAAAGGGGATCGCATTTTTCACCATTCTCTCTCTAGAAGAACTACTTCTCTTTCTAATCTCTCTCTCACTCTCTCTCTCTGATTCTGATTCCCCCGATCAAACCCGGCTCTCAAACCCGGCTCTCACGTTTCTTCTCGACCCAAACTCTCATTCGAACCTCACTCCTACACTCAGTTAGGTTCAAACAATATCCAATTAGGTATTGTATAAGTCAGCAATGATATTTACTATAGACATTTTACCAAAAATTTATTATAGGCAAAAAAATTCAAAATTTTATATTGGAAATTCTACACATTCTACACATTCCCATTTATTTTGGCAATTCATTTGTTTTGATTTTTGTGGAACTTCATTTCACAGATTGCAGCCAAATATTTTTTGTTATGTTAATTGTAATTAATTATATATTTATTTTTTGTTATGTTATATATATACAGATTATGTTAGCATACGTCATCCATATGTTATCGGTCTTCATTTCCCGTAACTAACTCTTAGTCACAATTAATCACCGTGGACAACATAACAATTTATCTTTGTAAAATTTAGATAAAAATAAAGAAGAATTAAAAAAAACTAAATATTTGGAGGGAACTCCACCTCTTTCATTTTGGCTCCAAAATTAGACATATGTGAAAAACTTCCTCGCCTTCATTCACAAAAATTTAGCTTTCCCACCATTATTTCCCCTTAATTTTTGAACAACAACTGATAGCTACAATTGCTGCTTCACAAAAGAAAGGGGAAAGCAGACAAAAAAGAAAAGGGTAAGGGCGAAGATGGTGTACTAGGAGGTTAAAGATTGTTTAAGGCATGCACATTGGTTGATTGAGGTAATCCAAGCTTTCTTTCTTGCTAATTTTAGATTTTAAAAGGTAGAGTTCTTAAACTAAATTTGGGGATTTTCTGAAACTTGTTTGTTTCTCCCTTGTCTGCCATCTTGTTAATCAGAATTAATGATGGGGTGGTTGGTTGGAACTAATTATAGAAATGGAAGCTTGCTAATGCTAAAGGAGAAGAAATTGGTAATTGAACTACAAATTCTATTTCACTTTTACTTCGATGAATAGCTAGGAGGTAGACATTATGAGAGTTCTGCCATGTTTTGGATGGCTCTGCCTTTAGGCTTTATATAACAGGTGGTTGGGTGGTGAATGAAAAGAGAATTGAAGGTGGATTAATTTATATATAATCTTCGATTTATTACTAGTTTCCTGATTTTGTTTAGTTGTAGAACATTTTGTAATACCACAGTACAAACGAGACTGGATGAAGACATTTCTTATTCATGCTTTGCCAGGCCTTTACAGAGAGGGAGCTTGGTGATGGTGGATGAAAGCTCGGTAATGCTCATACTCTTTTTGTATATGGTTTTCATATTCCTTCTTTTCTGGACGGGCTAATTGCTACTTACATAAGAGCCAACAAACAGCAACTAAAAAGGGTTGTGGGGGGTAGCAAGGTCTGACTAATAACATTACGATTCGCATTTCCTTTCTTATGTAGTTAACTCTTTATCTTTGTTCTGTACACAAGTAAAAGCTGCAAGGAAGCATATGACTTGAGGTCTCCCATCACCACGTTCCGCATCACCATCTCCGGTGCAATCTCTCCTTTTAGTGAGGTGCATCCCACTCTTAACTATTTTTAGAGGTTTTCATATTGATTAATTAGTGGCCTCTGCCTCTTGTTCTTGTCTAAAAATAGAGGCCTTTTCCTCCGGAGATGCTGCGAATGGAGAATGCGTTTTGGAAGAAAGCCATGAATTAGTATGTTCCTATGATGCAGTTTGATGTGGTCATTGACAGTACCAATTGTTCGTATGTAAGATGTGACAATGACAACTATGGATTTGTATATGGTAGAACTTAGTAAGCAAATTGCTATGTATCTTCTTATAATTGGAGTTAGGTTATGAGTTATGACTTATATACTATTATAGATCTATATATATTATATATTATTTATATACATCAACCAAATGTTGATAACCTTCCTAGGATTTCTATTTATCTACTGAGACAGTGAGACTACTATGTGATTCAATTTAATGGTAATTGTCAACACAAAGTAAAGCTTTGTTCTTGATGGGAAAGATGAAAAATAATAGAGCAAGTCACGTAAACTTTATATATATATTATCTACATATAATATTTATGCAGTAAAATATATTATGTAGTATTATTCGTGCTAATCGGGCGGGTTCGGGTTGGGTTAGTCGGATTGCGGGTTTAGCGGGTTGCGGGTTAAGCGGATTGTGGGTCAAGCGGGTTGCGGGTCAAGCGGGTTTGGGTCAAGCGGGTTATGAGTTAATCGAGTTATGTGTTTGGATATTAATTACATTTGATATTTTGATTTGTGTCAAATTCATTTGGTGATTTTCCAATACATGTCTAGTGTATTACTTGTTAACTTCAAATACATTTTAACATCTAGTGATTTGAAATACCACCTAACAAAAAATTGGATCTATTAGTAAAGTATTAAAACTTTATGTACGATAATTGAGGCAAAACTGTTTGAGCCTAACTGAGTGTAGGAGTGAGACTCGGGAGAAATGGGGTGAGAAGAGCAAGCAATGAGAATCTTTAATTGGTTGGTGGATAAAGGTACGAGAGAATATCACTGAGAGGATGAAATCTTAGAGAGAGAAGTTGATATATACTTTGTAGTGATAGAGTTAGAAAATCTGATCCCTTCACCCACCGGAGTAAATGCTCTATTTATAGGACACATTGCGGTGGGTGGATATTTAATGTGACATGACTACTACATGTGTCAGGCGTTTAGGCCATGCCTTAGGCCATAATTATACCTAGAACTAGGATGTGACCGTTCCTTCGGAGGATACGACGTCGTTCTTCCCGGTTTTCCTTCTCAGTTCGAATTGAGCGAAACGACGCCGGCTTGGGTAGAGCAAAACGACGCCGTCTGGCGTTTACAAAACGCCACCAGCTTGAGTAGAGCAAAACGACGCCGTGTAGCGTTTACAAAACGACACCGCTTGAGTAGAGCAAAGCGACACCGTCTGGCGTCTCTGGCACTTGCGGACGTGTCTTTACTCGCGGAGGCCTTTGGTACTTGCGGGCGCGTCTTTACTCGCGGAGCTCCATGCCGCGGATGGTTCTTTCCGCGAGCGCGCTGGGCAGTCTTGCTTGTGATTTGAATTTCTAAATGTCAAATTATGTGTTTGGATATTAATTACATTTGATATTTTGATTTGTGTCAAATTCATTTGGTGATTTCAAATACATGTCTAGTGTATTACTTGTTAACTTCAAATACATTTTAACAGCTAGTGATTTAAAATACCTCCTAACAAAAAATTGGATCTATTTGTAAAGTAGTATTTCAAATACATACATTTTAAAAACATATATTTCAAATACCTTACATTTAAGATACACCTATTCAACTGCATCCTTACATGGTTAACCTTTCATAAAAAAAATACATGGTTAACCTAAATTCCATGTATTATCTTTGTATTTTGGAACCCGAACATTCGACTTATAACTAGCGAAAACCAATCTTGTGAATAAAATAATAAATAGAATAGGGATAATATCTTATTATGATCCGAACTATAACCATATAATCAACTTTGGCCCGTAATTCTAGAAATTAACATCCTAACCTTAATTATACAGCATACAGACTCAATTGGCCCGACACATGATTTGACCCTCAATTTGGACGGTCAACACCGTTGACCGTTAGTCAACATGCCATGTCATTATCTCGTTAGCCTAAACATTATTAAAAAATTCAAATTCAAATTATTTTCCTTTTTTTATGAATCGATGGGATCTTTATTCATCAAAAAAGGGTTTGTTAGCAACTGCCCTGCGAACTAGGCTTAATCAACCTATAAGTACGAACAAAACAAACACAAAACAAACAGAATCTCTAAGGCAGATTGATTGACCAAAACAATGAGGCCCTCTGCAAACCCAATACACACTCTATCTCCCCCTGAATAGCTTTCAACATAACCTGCTCATCCCCAACTGCTCCTGCATACAACGTCCTGCATCTCTCTCTCCAAATGTGGCTCACCCACGCCTGCCATATAGCCCTCCCTGATTCAGCAACTTCCGTCTCTCCACCTAGTTTCCTAATCAAGAAACTCAGCAACCCATCCCAATCTTGCACCCTAGGTATCTGTAGGAACCTGCAAAACAGCACATCAAACAGCTGTCTCGAGAACGAGCAGTGAACAAACAAATGATCCCTATCCTCTATTCCTGATTGGCATAAACAGCATGATAGGTCACCCAAACCCCCACTTCAACATCTTCCTTTTTGTATTGATACTCCCCCTGATTACCAGCCAAGTGATAATCCTATTTTGCGGGATAGCCACTCCCTTCCACAAGATTTTCCACCATGGTACTCTTTGCTGATGAGGGCGAATTGATTTCCAAACCTTCCTAATTCAGTATCGAGGCATAGCAGCTTTATCAAACAGGAGGACATTATCTCGGACTGAAATCATTGCTTCCACCCTACTCCTCATCTTTAAGATCTTTCTCCAGTTCCATGATCCTGATGTACAGGAATAGGACCAGAGATCCCTACTTTTCAGTTTATATTTAGTGATCCAAGCCACCCATAATGAGCCTTCCTTCAATAGAATTAGCCAAATATGACAGATCATACAGGCCTGATTCCAACTATACATATCTCTGAAACCAAGACCCCCCTCTTTCTTAGGGTAAGCCAACTTCTGCCAAGCAACATTTGCTCTCAGTTTTACACCGCTTCCAATCCCCCAGATAAACCTACTGCAAATTCTCTCAACTTCCTTAATCAATGCCTTTGGAAGTAGAAACACAGGCATCCAAAATTGAGTGATGATGTAAAGCACAGTTCCCACCAGTTCTATTCTCCCTGCATATGAATGAGTTTTTTCTTGCCAACTCTTAACACGAGCAAGTAACTTGTCAATGAGGGGTCTACAGGCAGTAACACTTAACTTCCCAGAGATCAAGGGAACTCCCAGATAACGAACATGGAAGCCCCCAAGTTGGTAACCAAACCTATCAGCCCTCACCTTCCTCTCATCCTTATCTAATCCCCAAAAAAAAATCACATTTACTAGGGTTAGACTTCAGCCCTGAAAGCTTTTTGAATTGACCCAAAACTCTCTGCAATTCATACATCCCAGAATTTGAAGCATCAGAGAACACCAAGAGGTCATTAGCAAAACACAGATGTGTCAGCTGGACCTTTTTACACATTGGGTGATAAGGAAAACGACCCTCTGAAGCATATTTGTCTAACAAACAAGTGAAAATCTTCATGGCAATAGCAAAGAGATAGGGGGAAAGGGGATCCCCTTGTCTGAAGCCTGTTTGTGAAGGAAAATATCCCACCAACCCTCCATTAAAACTTACACTCAACATAGGATTATCCACACACATTCTTATCCAATTCACAAATCTCTCAGGAAAGCCCATACCCTTAAGAACTTGACTAATGAAATTTCAATCTACTGAATCAAACGCCTTCATAAGATCAATTTTCAAGGCACAACGGGGGGAGATGTTCTGTTGAGCATAGTTACTAACCATTTCATGAGCTAGAAGAATGTTTTCCCCAATAAGCCTCCCTTTCACAAACGTTGTTTGGTTTTTACTAATTAAGGATGGAAGCACTATGCTCAACCTATTTGCAATAAGTTTTGAGATGCACTTATACAGGACGTTGCAATAGGAAATAGGTCTAAAATTTTTCATTTCATCAGGGTTGGGGACCTTAGGGATCAGGGAAAGAATAGTAGCATTAACAGGGCGAGGTATTCTATCTTGTTCAAAGCAATAACGAATAGCAGAGGTTACCTCAGGGCCAATCAATGGCCATGCATAATGAAAGAATGCTGCTAAAAACCCATCAGGACCAGGGCTTTTATCAGCATCCATCCCAAACATCACATCTTTGATCTGCTCATCAGTGAAACCATCACATAGGCCAGTAGCTTGCTCCTCAGTAAGTGTCCTTGTTAATAACTTAGGATAGAAATCATCAAATTGTGCCTCTACCTCAGTATCAGCAACTCCCAACAGATTCTTATAGAATCTGACAGCAATCTGAGTCATCTCATCAACCTCTTGAACCTTCTCTCCCTTCTCATTCTTTAGCATTCTAATAGTGCTCCTCTTTTGCTTTGACTTGACTGATCGATAGAAATATTCTGAATTCATATCACCAGTTTTCAACTAACTCTCCCTTGACTTCTGTCTTAAGAAACTTTCCTCTGCATCCAGTAGAGCTTTATATTCTTGACTCAGTCTCCTTTCTTCGTCAAAATTACCCTTAGTTGGATCAGTGAGAGCCTCCTGTTGCATCAAATGAAGGCTAGCCTCCTTTTCCTTAACTCCCTCCCTAATATCATAGTATTCCTCTTTGTTAAGCTTTCTTAGAAGGTTTTTAAGATTCTTCAACTTTTTGCAAACTCTAATCAGAGGGTGACCAGTAACTCTACTCCTCCAAGCCTCCTCAAGTAGCTCATCAAAACGAGGATGACGAAGCCAAAACTTAAAAAACTTAAAATGCTTGGGCATGGATTTCATAGAACTCTCTGTATCAACCAATATAGGACAGTGATCAGAGACACCAGGGGCTTGAAAATGAACCTTGCTCTCCTTAACAGAATCCAGCCAGTCAAAGTTAACCAGAACTCTATCCAATCTTTTTGTTATTGGGTTATTTACTTGTTTGTTCAGCCAGGTAAACCATGGCCCACTTGCTTGATGCTCCTCCATCTCCAACTCAACAATCCAATCCTGGAAGAAGGTCATACTTGAGTCCACCCTCGAATTATTAGATGCTTCAGTAGGATGCCTAATATCATTAAAATCACCCAACACCATCCAAGGCATATGAGTGACTCGAATACTGGCTAGCTCTCTATATAGAATCTGCCTTTCCTTTTCCTCATTAGATGCATAGATCACAGTGCAAAAGAATGGCTGTAATCCCCCAACCATAAACTGAATAAACTAATCTGAAGAGTGAAGAACAGATAGTGAAACTTCCTCCCTCCAGAGAAGCCAAATCTTCCCCAAACCAGCTGAGTTGTGCTTAGTCTTGGATTTCCAGTCAGGAAACCTCTTCTCAATCAATTCGTCTGCCTCAGAGACTCTTATTCTAGGTTCTAATATAGCAACTATATCTATACTGTACTTGTTTATTTTCTTTACTATAGCTTTAAACTTACTATCAGCTTTAAACCCTCTTGTATTCCAAGTGAGTATCTTCATCTTCAACCTCTCCCCCTACCACCTTTCCCTCTCTGTGGCTGATATGGGACTAAAGGTGAATCTAACCAAACCTTCTTCCCTTTTTCAATCTTTGCCTGCACATTTTCCTTTCCCTTACCACCCTGAGTCAACTATGCCTATAAACTCCCAGGATCTAGTGGCTTACCAAGCTTAGTTGAAAACCCAATCTCAGAAGGACTCCCACCAAAGGCGGTGATCCTCTTACAATTTGGGAAAAGCTCAGTGGTGGGATCCCAATTGAGGAAGGAGCATTGCCATCTCCAACTAGCAGAGTAGGGACCTCAACCTCTTGGCTCTGCATAACTTTGCTTCCCTGAGGATCAGCCACTTCATTTCCTTCCTCATCACTTCCTTGATTACCAACAACAGCAACACCTTGTGCCTCTTCCACAACCACAACTACCTGAGGATCAGCCACTTCATTGCCTTCCTCATCACTTTCATGCTTACTAACAACAGCAGCACCCTGTGCCTCTACCTCACCAGTACACTCATCTTCAGCCCCCGCCCCTTCTTTGAGTCGCCACTTCTTCTTTGGTTCTTGCTGACAGTTATGCCCAAGCATACAACAAGAGGGACAGAATTTAAGGAGGTGAGAATAATCAACCCCCACTTCAAAGTCCGGATCATTATCAGGGTACAACCTGATACGCCGAGGAAACTCACAGTCAGCTGATAGCTCCACACATACTTTAGAGAACCCTAACTGGTCCCCAAATCTCGTCTTCTGATCTGTCCATAAAGGTTTGCCCAGCGTGCTCGCAACCCATTCTATTCCATCCTGACCCAGATACTCAAGAGGTAATCCCCAAATTCTAACCCAAATCGGCAACGTCTCCACTCTTGGTGCAATCGGTTGTATCCCCACCTCCCATTTACGAAAGAAGACAGGATTTTCCATAAAATGCCACGGACCAGACTTGAAAACCCAATCACACGACGAAGACGATGGAAATTAGAAAACCAGAAGCTTAGGACCGAATCGCGAAACGCGTACCACACCGTTTCTCCCCCATAATTGATTAGCCCATGACTGTAGCTTCGCCACCTGAGGACGTTTACCGATGAATTGACCCACTAGCGAGTCTTTCCAACGTTCAACACCCTTCTGCTTAACCGCTTGCGGGATCCGAAACCCGTCTTTAATCTTCTCTGGTGGCCTGTAGGTGAGACGCTTTTCCGGCGCCACCGAGAACAGGCTCGCCCATGAGGAGCCCTCGCCTGGCGGCATCCCTGCCGACGGCGAGGCGGCCATTAATTCTAGGTTTCGAATCAAAGAAACGAGAAAGAAGAGAGAACAAAGAGAGAGAACCAATTTTGTTATAAAAATATAACAAAATTGGCCATTAACACATGAATCTGGTGAGTGGCTACCACTCTTAACCCTCCCCAGTAGGGGTGGGCATTGGGTGGGTCGGGCGGATTTTGACCATAATTAACACACCCACCCACGCTTAAACGGATTGATAATTTTTAACCCATCGCCCACCCAAATTTAGTCTCGGGTTGGGTTGGGCGGATGGTGGATGATGCGGGTGGATTTACGGGTTCACCCACATTACAATGTAAGTCAACTTAACATGATAATCGGTGGAGAGAGTTATCGAGCGAAAACAAGAAGATGGAATGCGAAAAAAATGTCGAATTAGTTATGATATTGGATGTAAATTCTATTATCTATGAGTTTGCTACAGATGGAGATTATTATCAAGTACAGGGAACTAAGGAAAATAATTCAACGGAGGAAAGAAATGTGATATAAGCACAAGAATCAGAGGAAAAAATAAAGGGAAGAAAAGGGGATCGCGATTTGGAAGATTAGCTTTAACATTTAATCTCCAAGAACAACCCTAATTTCCCTCTAATGTCTCCACACTTTCCTCTCCAATGCCAACAACTTTGTTCTTTTTGCTATTGCGTTGAAAGGGTCACCCGCGCACCCACCCGCCACCCGGCGGATGGCTTCCAGTGCAACCCATCACCCACCCACATCAAGAAATTCGGATCAAATGTGGGTGGGTCGGCACCCGCGGGTGATCCGCCCGCATGGCCAGCCTACTCCCCAGTATTCATTCTTTTTTCAAGATCCCCTTTCAACCGCTCCCGTACGACTTGCTTAAGAGCTTGAAGTATAGGAGCCGAATCAAATCCTAACAAATCCAAAAGCTGTTGAAGATGGTATGCGCCTGCGACGAGGAGCTCAAGTACGACATGGCTCGGAATGCCTACATCAAGCTCGTCCTTCACGCCCTCAAGCACAAGATCCCCGTCGTCTTCACAGCGCCTTCTACGTCGGGGGATGCTCCTACCGATTCAAAACTCTTCAATTTGATCTGCGACAACTAATCTTACAGCCTCTCAAATCCAGATATGAGCAAAAAGTCCGACATGCTTGGCTGCAACGGTCTCAATCCAGATTCGGCGTCGTCATCGTAATACAACTCAAATCCACGGCCTCCTCCCTCACCTCCGTTCCCGTTCCCGGTACTGGCGAAGCTATTCCCACTCTGGCTCCCATTGTTGACTCTCCCGCGGAGCACGATGACCGGATTAATCGACGATATGTCTCCTCCCTGCCATTCCGCCCGCCACCACCACCACCTCCTCGGCCCCCAACTCTTCTCGGCTTAGGCATGAACATAGCAGCGTGAATGCTTTGCCAGTGGTGGCGTGTCTCCTTCGGGATCTTTTGTCTATATGTGATTATCAAATTTCCAAGCTTTCAGATCGGGAAAAAGAAAGGGAATGTCGCCTTTGTTGGAAGAGATAAAGAAGGGGAATTCAACGGGAGAGAGAGAAAATTTGAGTGGTGGAAATTGTTTGATTATTATTATTATTATTTATTATCTTATCACATAAAGAAAATATAAAAATAATTTGTAATTTGAATTTTTTTAATTTGGTACTAAAATGACAGTGATCTGAATCGTTGACCGTTAGTCAATGGTGTTGACCGTCTAAATTGACGGTCAAAACAGGCGTCCGGCCAGGTGAGTTTATATGGTGTATAGTTGAGACTAGTATAGCAATTTCTAAAACCACTGATCATAGTTGATTATAAGGGTATAGTTCAGACCATAATAAGGTATTAACCCTTAGGAATATGTCATTTGTTATGGATACGAGAATTTAGTACAACCATATTAAAATAGTTGGGTAAATACCACGTTTGGTTACTGGGATTACTAAATCAATTATATTCAGTCACTAGAAAAAATTAATATCAATTTTGGTCACTTGAATTACTAAAACATGTCACATTTAGTTACTCTCCCGTTAGCCTCCGTCCAATTTCGGTCACTCGAATTACTTTTTTTTTAGGGTTAATTGCATGGTTGGTCACTGAGATTACAAAAAACGTTCATGTTTGGTCATTGTAAATATTTAAATTCAATCTTGGTCACTCAAATTAGTTAAATGGTTCAAATTTGGTCACTCTCCGTCCAACTCCGTTAAATTTGTCTGATGTGGCAGTCAACCCTCAAAGTTGACCGTTAACTCAGTGACATGGCAATTAAAAAATAATAAATAAAATAAATTTTAATCTTCTATCATTTCCAACTCATTTTCACATTAAAGTAAAATAAATAAAACAAAAAAAATATTATAATTACAAATAAAGGGTGCTTCCTCCGTTAATGTCGGCCGAAAAGGACGAGCGGTGGAAGGCGGCGGCATTCATCAAGCTGGTCCACCCCAAGGGCATCGTGGAGCGGCTCACCCGCCCGACCTGGGCCTCCGAGGTCATGAAGCAATACCCGCGCCACTGCGTGACCCGACCCGACGTTTTCAAGAACCCCTGGATCGCGGTCCACCCGGACTCCCTCCTCAAGCTCGGCTGCGTCTTCTACGTCGTCCCTTACCTCACCATCAACCGCTTACTCAAGCAGCACTCGCCAAATCTCGCGGCGACGGCTGCGACACTCTTCTTCTTTCATCGACCGGCCGCGGCGAAGGGGATCTACGGATTGTTCCACGGAGATGATCGGTTTCGATCGGCTCGTCAAGCACAGATCTGAGAGATTGAAGGTCGATTGCCGGTATGGTGAGTTACGGGACCCGATTTTCCCCAACTGCTTGGTCGGGGACCGCAAGGAGATCATCGGCGCCGATTCACCTCAGATCTGGCGCCCGGCAACGGCGTTGAGCTACTACAAGAAGGATTCCGAGTCGAGCGAGCCAATGGAGAGTCGTGGCGATTCGTCCTTCTCGATCGACATCGATTCGTTCAGCGGTGGCGTTCGCCGGCGGCACCGACGAGTCAGCGACGGAGACGGGTGTGGTGCTGAGCTGGATTGTTCTTCTTTTTCTTCTTCTTCAGGATCGAAAAAGCTGAAGCCGTGTCTGCGAAAGAGCAGTAGTCGCAGTGGGTCGAGAGGGCCGGATATTACCACCCTCAAGCAGCTCCTGCTTGCTTACAAATTACAATCCCTATACCTGTCGAGCTGGGGTTTTGGGGAATTAGTGGCGAGGAAGCGCCATTATAATGTTTTATTTATTTATTTATTTTACCCATTAAATGAGTTGGAAATAGTAGAAGATTAAAATTTATTTTATTTATTATTTTTTAATTGCCACGTCACTGAGTTAACGGTCAACTTTGAGGGTTGACTGCCACATCAGATAAATTTAACGGAGTTGGACGGAGAGTGACCAAACTTGAACCATTTAACTAATTTGAGTGACCAAGGTTGGATTTAAATATTTACAGTGACCAAACATGAACGTTTTTTGTAATCTCAGTGACCAACCATGCAATTAACCCCTTTTTTTATAAATGTCACTCGAATTACTGAAACATGTCACATTTAGTCACTCTTCCGTTAGTTTTCGTCCAACTCCTCGAATTACTGAAAAATGTCACATTTAGTCAATCTTCCGTTAGTTTCCTCCAACTCCATTAGTCACTCTTTATTGAAACATGTCACATTTAGTCAATCTTCCGTTAGTTTCAGTCCAACTCCTCGAATTACTGAAACATGTCACATTTAGTCACTCTTCCGTTAGTTTCCGTCTAACGGAAGAGTGCCTAAATGTGACATTTTTCAGTAATTCGAGTGATCAAAATTAATATTAATTTTTTAAAATGACTAAACATAACATGATTTAATAATCTCAATGACCAAATGTGACATTTACGAAAAACCACTAGATAAAAATTACAACTGGAATCCCTCAGGGCGGCTCAAGGCACGGGCACCAAGCCAATCCAATGACCGAGAAATTCTTCAATGCTCCAGGACTACCACTCTGGATGTCTGAGCTGGTGCTCCGCACCTATTAGGGGTGTTCAAATGGTTACCATGGTAATAACCAAACCAAATAAGTCTAAATTCTATTAACCATGGAATACAATATCATAACCAAACCGTCCAAACTAATACAACAACCAAATTAACCAAACTAAAGTTTATTCGGTTTGGTTAATTGGTTAACCAAAATAACCAATATAACACCACATTATCATTAAGTGAGAAAATTTTTCATTTAGTGCATCAATTCGCAATTTATATAATGAACAACACATAACAATCCACATAATTATAGTTAACCTTTAACCTAAATACATGTAACAAATACAATTATCTTACATTTGACTCTTGAGTGGTTATGCAAAGTATTAATTATGTGTATATAATATATATTAGATATATGACTAATTATTTAACTGGTTAATTTGGTTTGATTGGTTAGGAGTGCCTGAAACCAAACCAAACCACCTAAACAAAATAAGCTAAATTTTTTAACCAAACCAAACCAATTATCGAAATTAACCAAACCAAATTAGCCAAATACTACTGGTTAAAATGATTACCACGGTAACCACACCGTTTGAACACCCCTAGCACCTATCATCAACCGCCATGTGTAAATTTATTGTATTTGTTAATTATACTTTTCGTTGATAATTTATTACGCCAAACATTATTTAGGTTGTCAACCCGCGGGTTGACCCCCGGGTCGACCCAATTTGACCCTGACCCGGTGAGAAAAATGGGCCGCACGCACCCGCCGGGCCGACCGCTATAAGGTACCGGGTTGGATGTCAAATTGTGTCATTTTTTTCTTTAGTTTGCGAAATGCGCCTATTTTCAAATTTTTCTTTTTGCCTAACTCAATCTTTGGAATACTAAGTTGAACATTTGAATATTGAGCACTTCTACTATGCTATATAGCATTGGTGCTTTAATGTACAACTCAAAGTTGTACCATAACATTAAATGTATAAGTTTAGGTTGTACCATAAAGGAATTTATATCATTATGTTATGGTACAACTTTACAACTTGAAGTTGTACCATCACATAAAGGTACAAGTTCAAGTTGTACCATAAAAGAATTTGTACAAAAAGTATAGGTACAATCTAAAGTTGTACCATAACGTAAATGTACAATTTTAAGTTGTACCATAAAGGCAAAAACCTATAGCACCAATACTATATAGCATTGTAAAATTTCTCATATGCGATGGTGTTGGATTGAAGTATACCATTGCAAGTGTATCATTCGTACTATAGTAAATACAATCTGATAATTTGATTAAAGCAGATGATCATTGTAATATGATTTTCTTAGACTGGCCAAGGTAAGTGAGTCTGCTAACAAAAGTCAAAAAGCTCAAATTTCATTTTGGGAGAGAGAGAGAGAGAGAGAGAGAGAGAGAGAGAGAGGCAGGCAGGGGAGACAGACAAGTGACTGACTCATGGTGGTATGTCTTGGTGGTGGTGACAAGACAAGATTGGAAACCTTCAATCAATCGAATCAATCATGACAAAACAGCAGCCCCATCTATCTATCTATCCAACTGATAATCACTCAATCATAAAATCAAACTCAGCTCTCACTATCATGTCATCTCAAAAAACAAAGTTTGACAGGCAGATCTGCCCCATCAGGGCAAAGGAGATGGACTCGTGAAGAAGAAGAACAAGGGAACATGACCCCCGCAAACCACGGGTTCTTTCCCCTTCCAATTGCTCTTTTGTTTTCATGCTCTTTCATTATCAGGCTTGATTTTGGCTAAAGATTCAAACTTTTTGATTACTTGCAGACCCTACTTAAGATTTACATAGCAAAAAACCCACTAAACAAACTAACAGAACACCCATTTTGACCATTCAGCCATCTTCTTTTAACTACCTCCATCTCCACATGATGATCCTGGTCCTCCTAATGTTAGCACCACACCCTCAAGATGATCCATCATCCTCAGCTTCTTCTCCTTCTCACCTCCGGACCCCGCCACCGTTGTTGTCGCCGGGCTACTCCCTTGACTCTCTGCATAGTATATACCTCCTCCTCTGTTCATCACTCGACTCTGCCCCACCCCTGCCTCTTCACTAGGCTTATTACTCAGCACGAAGAGGCGATGATTTTGATTCTGATTCTGATTCCGGTACACTGATAACGAATGCGATGATGACGATGATGGCAGTCGATGGAGCATTCTGTTTTGGTTCACACGAGTAGAGAATTCGCCTCGTGTTGTCGTTGTTGTTGACGGTGAAGATGACAGCCATCCCCCTACTCCATTTCCAACCATGGGCGCCTGTGAGAAAACAACTTAGCATTAATCAACTTTCCAAATTTATGAAGATTTGGTCTCATGTCGTGTAACTGTATAGTGAATGATGAATGGAAACAAAAAAACTTACAGCTGGGAACAACACTCCTCTCAGTATCCTCCCATTCACATTTGCAGTCATCAGTAGCCCCGAATCGAACAATCCGTCCACCTTCCCCCGTACCTCGGCTCCAATCTGGTCACACGAAGAAACAACGATTAGAGCTTTTCGTCAAGAATCGAATGGATAAGAGTAGTCTTTGTTTGTCAAATGTAAACAGCATTGCTTGTTACAGTTTTACCAGGTTCTGTTGTTCAATTGGTTTCTGCTGATCTGGAGGAGACAGCAGCATTGCTTTCCTCCTAAGAAACTGCTGCTCTGCAGCATTGTACGAGATTGCTCTTTCCATCATGTTCCTAGTACTTGGCACGTCGTTCGTGTTTGCAGTGCGGTGGTGAATCCTCGTTGGAGGCGGATTTAATTGCTTGAACAAGCTCGAGAAGGAATCGCTGGCTGCTCTCTTCTTCGTCGAGGCCTGTTCTTGATCAGATAGTGATGGGGAAGAATGTTGAGACAGCGAAAGTGAATGCTCCTCTTGCTGCGATGGTGACTCCACAACCTCCCAGCAGCGTGCTGAAGCATTCGAATTCATCATCCTTTTCCTCTTCGGATTAGTTGTATCTGCTGATCTCATCCAGAAGGGCTTCTGTTGGATGATCTTGTGGCCGAGATTGTTCGAATGCGCCCCTAAATTCAAGAGCAGCAGCTCGTTGAGTGGCTTCTCGTCTTCTCCACACCTTCAACAACAACAATTAAAGTTAAAGCAGAATCTTTACCTCTTCTGCCATGGCCAAAACAGTAAGCTTTTTAGTTAGTGTGTGTTTGTGTTGCTTACCCGCCATAGACGACAATGTCAAAAGGAGTGACCACAGCAGTGTGAGAGAACCTCCCCTGAGGCTGATGATGTCCACAAACATCTAGCCGCGTCCACGAGCAAGAACTCGCTGTATCCAGAACCCAAACATCATTGTAGTAATGTTTGTCTCCAACCCCTCCAATCACAAGAACCTGCAGTCATTGCATTACACCACAAACAAAGATAAAATCTTCCATTAATTTCGAGCCTTAATTCGAAAGAGGAGACAACAACACACAACATAGAGTTCAAACACTCACCTTTGTTCCAATACTCACAGCAGCATGCCCTGCTCGCACTCCAGGAGAACACCCATCAACAACTAGCTGAAACCAAGCGACACAAAGAATCGTTACTAAATTGTTAGCTCGCGAGTGATGGATGTCGAATCATCGTTAACATGTGTCGCGCGCGACATTTGTAACAAATTGTTAAAACTTACCTTGGACCATGTGAGGCTGTCCATGTCGAAGAGATCGACATCGCCATGGTACCTATCGCCGCGATCCCCACCAAAAACGAGAAGCTTGTTGCTGCTCTCCCCAATCTCAACGGCACAATGGCTGTCCCTAGGGACAGGAATCTCACCTTTAACTTCAGGGGCGACCCAAACCATGCCCTCAAGGTCTAGCACATGGAGATCATTCAAGTAATTCGATTCGCCTTCTCCACTCCCGCCGAAAATCACCATCTTGGAACCTCCAATGATGGTTGCTGTGTGGGATTCGCGAGGCGAAGGCGGGTTCCCAATCCATTGTGGGATTATCCACTCTTTGGTGTCGAGGTCGAGGACGTGGAGGCCATTGACTTTGTTTCGGCCGTTGGTTCCCCCGAAAACGATCATTCTTCGCCCTAGGATTACAGCACTGTGGCTGTCTCTGGGACCTGGAGCTTGCCCTCTGGTTTCCATGGCGGTCCACGACATTGTTTGGAGGTCTAGAACTAGAACGTCGCTGAAATGGAGGCCTCCACAGCATCCCTACGGGACCAAATGTAAATGAGAATGGAAGAGTAAAAAACTTTACACTACCCAATTGATGAACATTGATAATTAGCAGAGAGCAGAACAGAACAGCATAAAACAGAGCTAAACTGACTGAACCAGAAAAGGAAACAGAGGAATTCTATCAAGAGAAGCTGGAAAGTTTTAAACTTTAACACTACCCGATCAATGATTTAGTATATCCTTCGATAACAAGTCTGTTTTACCCGAGCCAGAAAAAAAAAACACACACACACACAAAAGGAAACAGAGTTCTTCCCCAACATTCCGACAGTCCAGCGTTAGAAAAAAGAACAGAGAGAGAGAGAGAGGGTGATGGAGGAAACAGGGGAAGAACAAAAAGCTGCTGAAAGAAAGCGTTTGCTCAGCTTTGCCAAAAATAAAACAACAGCCCAGTTCTTAAAACCCAACGGTCAAACTTGGAAGATTCAATGTGCATGGCGGCAAGTGAAAAATTAATGGGTTTTTAGTTTATACCCCAAAGATGTAGAGAGAGCCATGGGAGTAGCAAGCAGAGTGACCCCATCTCTCAGGAGGGTTGAATCCATGAAGCCTTGGGTACAACCACATGGCCTGCTTCTTCTCCATTGTTGTTAGTTAGTAGTTACTTAGCTTCTCCAGAATCCTCTGTTCACTTTCGTCTCTTTGTTTTGGGTTCTAGTTGAGAGGTTCTTCTGGCTTCGTTGGAAATGGTGATGTGAAGATATAGTAATGAGGAAGAAGAAGAAGAAGAAGAAGAAAGGGAAGAAAAGAGGAGAGGGTCAAAAGAGGAGGACATGAAACAAATTCATATGAATCAACTATCAATGTCAAATATAAAAATAATGGACATGAAAAGATGGGGGCTTTCAAGTCCTTCAAATCACTGTGGCAACCAAAACCATCAAGAATCGAGCTGGGTGAAAACTGCATCTTTATACTATTATTTTAATCTCTCTCAGTGACATGATTTCCTGCCCATAATGGGAGTTAGTAGGTTCCGAGTCTCTCTCTACCTTTCCTCTTTTCAAAAGCTCTGTCCTCTCTCTAGCCTTTTCTTCCACATGCGCCTCTGGGGGTGTCGCCGGTTTTCACACTTTTGGTGACCGGCGGCGACCCAACCCCCATTTTTTCTCGCTTTCTTGTCTTTGCCAACCTGCTATGGGTTTCCAGTTCTCTATTGCTACTTTCCCTTTGTGGATTTTGCCAAGAACTTCTCCTTGGAGATTGTTTCTTCTTCCACACTTCAGATTTGTTTTCAGATCTTGAAGTCGGTCTCTCGGGCTGTCCGGTTCTTGCTTGTGGGTGTCAGAGGGAGCCGCCGTCGGCGGTTTGTTCTCTTCTTTCATGTTTCTGTTATCTACCTCCACACGTTTCACCCATAAATGGGGGTGATTCGGAGATGTCACGGCTTGAATAGCCAAGGATACTGATTCATGGGGTGGAGAGCAGGGATCTCTTTCTTGCCGAAGTGTCTTTCGTCGCTTGCTCGGTTTAGTGGGGGCTTTATGCGATGGCCTTTTTTCACCTTTCTGCTCGCGTTTGGGGTCGCTCTTGTTTCCACCTGTGGGGGTTTGGGCTTCGTGGTTGTTCTTCCTCGTGCCTTCTTTTCTGGTCTTTTGGGTTTCGACGGTGGTGTTGTTGGTGGATCTGGGAGTGATTCTGGCGTCGATTCTCCCTTGCACACGTTCTCTGTTGCGGTCCTTTGTCGGAGAGGCTCTCCCACTTCGTTTGCTGTTCTTCATCCGGCCTTGCAGGTGCTGATGATCTGGTGGTTGTGCCAGTTTTTCTCTCCTTCCGGCGAATGAAGTCTCTGACGGCATGAAGGGTGCTCAAGAAGGGTTGCTGGGTGGGGATGTTTGCGGCGGCCTTCTGGCTGATTGATGTTTCTTTGGGCTAGGTTTTCTTCGGGTGTAGGCTTTGGGTTCCCTTCCAGATTGTTGCTTGGGCTTTTTCTGCTGGGCTCTCTCTTTTTGCGCCTGTTGTTTGCCTTAATCTTGGATTTTCCTTCCTTTTGAGTGTTGCAACTCATCTCTGTACACTGTGTATGGTTTTATTTTCATTAATGAAACTCTACTCCTCGTCAAAAAAAAATGGGAGTTAGTATAGGGATTGCATCAAAATGAATGAGAAAATGATAACGCAAAATCATAACAGGAAGGGGTGCAAATGGAAGGCTGCAAGCTTGGGGTTCCAAGGTATTTACCGTCGTTTGGTTATTTTGTAATAGTAGGTAGGTGCAAAACGTAAGCGTAAATTCAATATTTCGATTTACCCCTCCAAACTGGGGTGCAAGGGAAGGAAAGAAAGAAAGGGGAAGAGAGAAGAGGGAAATTATTGATTTTTAATTAGATTATAATTACATAACAATTAATATTATTAATTTTTTCTTATATCTATATTAATGTATAAGTTGTTTGGGGTTGACCGTTTGACTCCAAGAGCAAGTTTGTCAATTTTCGTCTAGTCAAATCGATATCTTGGTTGACCCGAATTTGCACTGAAAATTAGAGATAAGAAGCTTTTGTTGAAAAGATAGGCAGAAACAATTTAGTTGATTCTATTTACTTTAATAAATAGTTAAAACTTACATATTCAAACGTGTTTGACTAAGTTTGACCATATTCAATTTAAAGTTATGCACGAGAACCCACTTAGGATGACCAGTTATGAGTTGTGTTTCGAGTTTCAAGGTTGCTCGGCCAATGATTATTATTGTTGTTATAAATAATTATATGAGCATTATTATGTACTAATTATTTTTATTGAAAATATTATTAAACATATTTATTATTTTATATTGATTTTTCATTTTATTATTTTGTTATAATATTTTATAAATTTGATAAATCTATTTTATAATCATATAATTATTTACTTTTCACTCTATTTGCACCCACTACTTTTTCATCCAAACAACAATTTACCCCTCCACCAAGTTGCACACAAAAAATTTACCTCTCAACTTACACCCCCTAGAACTTGCACCTCTTGTTGCCAAACATAGTATAAGGAAAGAAACATATAATTTTAGTTAGCATGACAATAGCAAATTGGCAATAGCCAAGTTAGAGTAGGACAAAAAAGAAAAAAATAGCAATACGTCTTGGTTTCAAACTCGATATCTTGGATGAAGGAGAGTTAATATATTAACATTATGTTATTTTTGTATCATATGATCCATATTTAAAATCTAAAATCAAATATTGAGAAGGTTATAACCGAAGTTATGTATAGCTCTCTTATTGTGATTTTGGTTGGTTACAAGCTGAATTTACTTTTTTTCGTTATTGGTTTTAGTAGTCATTGGGACTAGTACGAAAGATAGATTTCGAACATGATAGTAAAAACAAAAAATGAATCAAACTTCAATCACATCCAAATCTGTTGAAATAGTGATTCAATGGAATATGAATTGAATAGGCAGACACTTAGGGATCGTTTGGAACCTTTGGTTCTGAAAATGATGTATTACAAGAATGTGTGTATTAGGATTATGTGTATATTAAAAAAGTGTGGGTTTTCATAATGCTTTGTTTAAAAAACATAGAAGAATGCATGAGTTATACATGAAATGAATTATAGATACTAAATCTCATAAAAAAGGTGAGATTAAGTATACATCATTTTCTTAGTATTATGTAATCATCATGTATTCTATGATTAAAACAAGTCAAAAAATATTATATTCTACAAAATACATGTGTACTTAGAATACAATGTGTAAAGTTCCAAGCCAATTCTAACTAAAAAAAGTCTGATTCCTCTTCTACATTTCACTTTGTTTTTTCGGTTTTGTTTATTCCTTAAAAATATTGTAAAGAATTTCAACCGTGTATAGATGTTTTGGTCTATGGAGAGAAATGAGAGAATAATATTAATTAATATAATATAGGAAGTGATGTAAAAGAATAAATGATAAAGGGGGTAATGTAAAATCATGGGAAGTGACAAGTGATGGAGAGAAAATGCCTCGAGGTGGGATGGATGGATGAATTGAATTGAATGAAAATTATAGAAATGAAATGAATATAGAGAGGACTCCCTACGTCCCTCTTCATCATCATCTAATACCTATAATATATGCATGCTGATGTACGTCTTTTATGAACAGCATTTCCTAATATTTATTTTCACAATCAATGCATCAAATTCCTAAAATACATTAATGAATTCACATAAACCAAACTTCCTAACCATAGCTTTGTTTCGGGCTTCCGGCCAGGGTTACGGTACAAAACGTACAAAACTTGTGCCTTACCATTAGGGATACGAATCATAAATTTTTTTGATATGATTCTATCAACTATCAAGTACGGATGACACTTTTGAGCTGACTCGTAATACCCGCCTACGGGCATGTGTACTCTTCTCGAGCTGACATTTTCCGACCCTTCTCATTCTATACCTGTTTTGTCAACTTACATGCAATTTTAGTATTTTACTCAAATTACTTTGAATTTTACTTTTATTACTACATATATTTTAATTATAATGAAATTGTAAATAAGTGAGAACCTCAATTTCTAAAAAAATTATTATATTTATCATATTATAGTTTGTTTCTTTATTTTTAATTAAAAATAAATATTTCTAATGTTTTTCTTTTTAAACTACATATATAAAATGAGCCAACCTCACCCGGCAAGCGTCTTGTGATAAATTACCCAAGTTGAACTCAATCTGTCACTGAACAAGTATGAGTATCAAAATACACGCTCGAATATTTCCCATTATCGTTCGTGGTATCACGAGGTGGTATGATTTGTCTCATATATGGTAAAACTCGAGTTTTGTAAGGGTTGTAGTTTTTTTGTTTCGTACTCTATCATTTTTCCTTTGTGTTTGAATTAAATTAAATTTTCTTTGATTTTGGTTTATTATTATTGTAGGTAGGGTAGATGGTGGTGGGGAAAGTGAGGGAGAAGAGATGTTGCATGGGATTGATTGATGGATGGATGGAACTTGGAAGTGAAGTTTTTTTCCCACTATCCCTTCTTCTTCCTTTTATTTTATTTTGTGTTTTGTAGTCTGTGTCTGTCATAGGTTGAGACAGACAGCGTGTGTTTGTGTCTGTCACCCAATTTTCAAGACAGGGGGTGTTGTAATTGTTATTTCATGGGTCTGTGTTGTAGTTTTGATTGAAGATATGTCAAAACGAAACAGTGGCGTATCAATGCGATTGAAAGAGAGAGAAAGAATGGGGAGAGACTATAGAGAGACTTCGGTCCAAGGTTGTCAAATCAAATTATGTCATTAAACTAGTTTGATGAGTGGTTTGAAATTTAATTATCGGATTGAGTTCAACTAGTTTAAGATGGTTTTAACTTAATATGTGAGAAAATTTCTATATCATTATCCATATATTTATTATATTTAAAATAATCTTACTAATCTACATTCATATATTACCAGATTATTTCTAAAAAAAAATATAAATTACAAAGTTATCAATCCTCATCTTCAAACCTGATTTTGACTTGTGAGACCACCTAGTTTTAACTGGTTTAATCTGGATTTGACTGGTCAACCCAACTTTGACTTTTTCCAATATAGTCCAACCAAAGTGTACTCTGGTCATTTAGATGATCAGTTTTGGTCGGAACCAATTTAACCAACCGGCCGGATTCAACCATCATGAATGTTGTTATTCTGGGGTTGAATCAAGGAAAGTTTAGTTGATTACAGGGTTGATGTAACGGATGAAAATGGGTAGGATTGGATCGGTTTTTTCACACCCAAGTCCATATTAGCGTGTGCATCCGTCAAGATGATTCAGTAAAACATTCATTGGGTTTTTTAAG